AGTAGGTAATAAAACGGGTTTTCTAATTGCTCGTTGTTTATTTTTGCTTTTCCCAACCATGACCAAAGGTCTATGAAAATAAGTCTGTCATTTTGCATATTGTATTTTGATTTTACATTAGAAATGATTCACATTGACATTATTTCAGCGCTCGTTATAGCTTCTTATGCGCGCGAGCCATCGTAACGCTTTGAAATAGTACGTGTGTGCACGCCCATTTGGTTTATTGAAGCGCGAAATGTAGCCCGAATTTGCATTTCCACATGAAAACGCGTTGAAGAAACCGCTAATCTGTAAGAGCCCATATACGTTATGGGATATGGTTGAAAAATCTGCTCTTACTGAAGTAATCATTTACGAGCACATATCATATTGCCTAAAGTTTAAGGTCATCATAATTATCTGATTTATGATTTGATAGCGTTACCTGAAATCCAAAGGAACATTATTGTAATTTTATTAATATTTTTCAATATCAATAGACATTTATGTACCTTCCTTTAACAAGACTAGTGTACTAGTTTGATTTCGTAGAATTTCGCATGAGATCCCTTTTTGTTAAGCCTTGGGGTATAATTTGGAGTTTACCTAAAGGGCGAACAGAGGTCTGAGGTTAAGGTAATACTATTATTTTACGAACAAAAACTTTAATGAAAACTTAAACATGAGAAAATCTAATACAAAAAAAGGAAAAGACTTTCCTAATTCTATTTTCCTTTTGAGACAGTAATTGACGTAATTTTCAGATTGCTTTGAATGATTATAAAAAATCTACCCACATATTTTGAAGAAAAAATTAAATAAGGTAGTCTGTCACTTTATGGCCACACAAAAAAGTCGTTGAGTCTACGCTCGCCGCAGAGCCTATTAGGTATAGCTACTTTACTGCTAAGCGCTGCGCTTAAGCGCGGATTTGGTTATTTTCGTGGCTGTTAGAATTACATTAATGTACCATTTCCCAAAAATAAGCAAAGCTTAAAAAGTAAATGAGCGTAAATACGCTTGCCTGCCGCTTAATGGCCGGGGAGATGTAGAGCTTGGGAACTGATTTGATTGACTCATTCACGCCGTCGAGTTCTAATAATGTAGAAGGCATACGCAAAATACTCGTTTGAGAATCTTGCTTTATTTGGGAGTAAGGTTCAGAATGTAACATATTGCTAAGTGACATAAAGTCATATTGCTTTCATTTAAGTAGAGTGCTATCTGTCTATCAGATATCTTAAAGCTTTTGACGCTTTACGTTCTGTTATATAAAGAACATTTCTCTACAAATTCATTCATTTCACAAACGGCGTCATATTTTGTATAAACGATCACTGGTTCACAATTTGTCGACTACATAAAGAATACCATAGTACAGATATTTCTTGCTTCATATTTGAAGAGGATCACAACCCAAGCCAATTTAGGGCATACCGTCTTAAAAGCCCTAGCCTACTGTAGCCACAGTTTTGTATAGTAAATATTCGTATATGATGTGTATAGTGTTCGAAATATTTCATTTCTGAATGTAGAGAAAATCATAAGGTCTACAAGGACATCCATATTCTTGAAAGATGGTTGTAGAATTGAAATTTCAATTCCACAACCTACACACTGTGTTGATTTTGTAGCAGTTAATATACATACACGTTTATATTTCTGACATGTGATATGGGTGAGTGAGTATAGGTAATTCAAAATAATTTATGATGTCAATCGACAGTCAAGGACAATTTATTTTATATGTGCTCCAATCCCAAGTTGTGATAAGAAAAACAATGTTTAATATATCAAATGTTGTTAGTTCAGTTTGGAAGTTTGGAAGATGTGAGCCATCAAGAACAAATTCTTTGTGTCTTTACGAAAATTCAATGCTCGAAACAAAGAAAAAAGTTTCTTTTCAGGGTCGATTTTCAAGTTTGACATATTATTACGATTATTACTGGCAGTTTCTGTGGGATTAATGTCAAAACATCAATTTTAATCTTCTTAAAGAAATTATTTTAAAAATTAGCCCTTATTATAATTTAATAAAAAGTTATAATAAAATCTGTTAGCAAAGTTATAACAACATTAATGGAGGATAAACTCAAATTATTCATCCATTTTCATTAAAAAATTAACAACCAACAACAAGGTTTTTGTTAATGCATATTTCAGTGTACATTGACGTCGAAATACCTATTAATTGGATCCTTTGCAAGTTACTACAACTCTCGAGCTCAATTTCCACACAGTGTATGCAAGGTTTATGTTATGATACTTGATTGTTAACAACTTAACCAGTGTTATTTTCTGTTGTACACGGTTGTATTATTATATATACAGTGATATCTGCTTTTGTTAGCATATTTTCGCTGGTTTTAACGTGGGCTTATGATATTTTTTACGTGATGTAAAAGAAATCGTACGCTAAAAGATAGTAAAGTAATTGTTAACGAGCAACATTAACAGCGATACGAGTATATTGACAGCAAGCACGTTTGACAAAGTTGCAGCCATATATTCGTAAATGGTTGCAATGTATTACCTACTTATTTACCTATTGGGGAAATGCACAGTCATAACACATTGATATGTCAGTGCTAGATTGCAAAATATTGGAGCATGTCAATTGGAATTTGCCGAAACATTTTGCTTGCCGAGCAATGAGCCAGAATGCAACAAAAATAGTGATGTGTCGTCATCATCATTGTTATCATTTCCGTCTCAGGATTCCAATGATAGACGTATTACAGCCTAACAAATTTACTTATCGACAAAGGCTCCAATACTAAAATATGTATATTTAAATATACATCTGTTGAATACGAGGTCAATACGATTTGCTGATTCGCAAGCACTTTACTAGCAATAATAAAATCTGCATCGTGTAAATGGCTAACGTAATACCAATATTTGCTCGTATCATAAAACAAGTGTAGAGACGAGATAAGTTTCCAGCATAACCAGAGCAGTTTTTCCCAAAGGAAATTGGAATTCAGTGCTTACTTGTACTTTCGTGTGAGGTACGAGTAAAACAGGGTAAAATTGTTCGAGGCAAGATATCGTTGCAGTTTTAAACTACAAGTTTTGTCAGATTCCGAAGTTCAATAGATTGGAGTTGCAGTAAATCTACTGGAAAGCTTTTGCGGAGAATTGGAAAGAAATATTGTTATTTTGCTCTATATTTTGAAGAGATCAGCCAGATTATATTTAAGACTTTATCGAAAAATCATATTGGTTACGTTAGTAAGTTGTTTGATATTTATTTGGTATTTCTATCGTGAATGACATAAGAACCCTGGTTTCAGATATTATGAACAGTCATAAATACCTGCCGTGTATACATTGGAATCGGCTCTGTGACCTCTTGAAGATGTCCCAGTCAATCTTGAATCAAAATCATAGTTATATTTGTGCATCTCTCCTGATAAATGATTTAGGACCCGAATCATGAAAGCTCATCATCTATTCATATACTAGACTATGAAGAAAATGTTGTAAGTTGAGCTGAGCTGAATGAGGTTCGGGAAAAAATACAATCCCCAGAGCATCACCATAGTTCCTATATTGTACTGGAATCTTATAGGTTTTCTAGTGTTAATTGAAGACATCAAGTTAAAGCCATCAAGGACTAGTAGGTAACCCAAAGTGGACATAAGACAGTCTTATCTGCCGTAGACTCATAGCCATTGGGGCTTATGATTTCTGAAGAGAAGACCGTGTCTTGTAAATCTAGAAGGGAATAAGCCCAGAGCTAAATGGCGTGGGTTGTTCAGCAAAGGACTAATGTCAGGTAAGGATGATACTGAGTTATGTGATATAAGGATATGTCTTAGATGGTTATTTACCACCTCCCGTCCACAGAGCCATTGAGAAAAAATCAATGATTTTCAATGAGGTCTCTTTATGTTGTTAAAGTTATTGTGTGGAAAGCTATTGTCTTATTTTATTTTATATGTTACATTCAATCTACTGATAACATCACGTTCATTTCATATTGTTTCGTTTCATAGTGAACAAAACCATACTCCATACACAGTTGCTTGTAAATATTATGTCTTGTATTTGAAATGTCAGATATTCACGCGAGTATTGTAATAAACGAATTTACTACTTAGAATACACATCTCGACTGAGAAGCACTTAACAATAAAATGAAGACGGAAGTTTTTACGACTCTCATTTACGATTCGACTATCTCTGCCATAATTATTGGCATGACTTTTCATATCGGCCTCATTAATAAAGATTTACCGCGTCTTGCATTTCAATAAGGATTAAAATTGTATTTGTAATTATTTTGCCTAATTAGATGTCACAATAAGTATACTTGAAATGCACTTAAGCCTTATATTAGAACGTGTTTTATATAGAACACGTTTCCAACGACATATCCCGAAATATGGCAGTACTTCGCGGGTTATATAAAATGTCAGAAACAATAAATAACCCTCCGAGATTTTCGCCAGCTTCAGCTCGTATTAAGAAAGTTTAAGTCCTCTTCAGATGGGTGGCAACGTTTTGAGTGCTGTACCTATTCTACTCTCGCAAAAAGGCTTTTAGTTCTGTATACATGATTAACGACGTGTACTTTTAACGTGATAGTAATAATAAAAGTGACAACGTGAAAAACACTGTGTCAGTTCCAACCTATTATTTGTGCCGCTGCAATTTGTTGGACTGCCAATATTTTATTTCCAGTTGTTGAAATCCCGATCCGATTCGAACATGGAAAAGATTTCAAGCGCGTAAATGCAACCAATTCCAAAATATATGAAAAATCTTTTTTACGGTGTGCGCTTCCAACTAAATTTACTTTTATATTGGATCACAGCCGTTTTTGTTAACCCGTAAACTAGTCGATAACTTTTGACGGTGATTAATTATGTTTTAATTACGTTATTCTTATTTTAATTAATATTAATGAACTATTTAAAGTAAGACATACAATTTTCGATCAATTGTGGAGAATATGCATTTATGATTATAAAAAATTAACATTAACATAAAGGTATAGCAAAGATACTTACGAACTATTAATCACATCGCATAATCACCAATACGGGACAAATCCAAAGTTTGCTTATAACTATTTATGTTTTATTATTCCGCAACTTCATCAGTCACTTGCTTTATCAATCACTGGTAACTGGTTTCGCGAGAGGAACATTTTAAAGTTGGCGCACTGGTGAGAGCGGCGCGCGGAGACGCGAGAGAGGAACGAACAGGAACGAACTGGCACGTCCGAGCCATGCGAGCTTCGTCGTCCAACTAACGCACGGGCCACGGACGGACCAATGCCGAGGGCGGCACGATCGACACTTCAACTCACCTTTCAGGTAGAGCTGCGTTACCAAAGTCCTTCATTTTTAAAACATTCGTCCCTCTAATAAAATGTAAACCATTCTTTACTTTGTACAAGATCAACAAAGCATGTGATTTTATTACGTAGTTCTTAAACTCACATAAAACCCACGGTCCCATTTCACATAATTAAATTAGGCGGCTCCATAATTTACTTAATACTTATGTGAGCATTTACGGACTTTTGCCATTTGCGGAGGGTCGTATCTTTGTCTTTGCTGCAATGCTTTTTATTCTGTTCCTTATTGTTTACAAAGTTTTTGATGTATTAAGGCGTCCCACGTTTGTATTAAGTCGTGACGAGCAAGAAATTTACTACAATGTTTTGAAATGCTTACCGACTCTGTTGCTTTGTTATGGTCGGATTTTCCTCATTCGCGCGGTTAAAATAATGAATGGTATCATTATTCTTCATGTGATCAACAAAATCTGGTTATTGTATTCATTTTGATGGAGGAACAGTTGAATTTACAAACGCATTCACTTGGAATCCTGTTGGCATATACATGTGCCCAGGTAACCTTCCTGTTTCAAACACATGTTGGGTTTCCATCCTAAGCAAACACACCTCACTTCTTATTACATACTTACCTACAACTACAAAGTAGGTAGTAATATATTATACAGGACGGAAGGGATGATTTTATGAAAGGAAATTATGCGTATTTGAGTTAGACGTGTAAAGCAAATACAAATATTATTAGATGATCAAACGAACTTACCAAGTGAAGTTCGATCTGAATTATCCTGTTTTCGCCGAAGAGATTTATTTTACCGTGTAGTACCCCTGTACGACAAGCCAATCCGCACACAATATTCAGCGCAGTAGTAGTAAAAAACAAAAGAGCGGGCAACCCCACCCCTACCACGCTGTGGGCTCGGTGTCCGAGCGGTCTCATTATATTTAGAGAAGAGATGACATTGACGTTTACCTCCAGGGAAGAAGATATAGAAATCTTCGGGTTGGGAGGGACCTTAAATCTCTTCGGCGAAAACAGGATAATTCAGATCGAACTTCACTTGGTAAGTTCGTTTGATCATCTAATTATCCTGCTTTCGCCTCCGAGATTTATTTTACCGTGTAGATGTTTAGAGCATGGATCAATGTCCATGTTAAATGGTTAAGAGAGTAAATGTCAATGTACTAAATACATAATAAAGCAATATTTTTGTATTATAATCGTATTGCATCACTTATTCATAACAATAACAAGTATCACGGTCTCAACAAGATTTTGTTCATTATAGAGTATTATTATATAAAAAAATGGCTACTGGGTAACATCTCGCATTACCTCGGAGCAAAAGAATGGCTACTGGGTAACATCTCGCATTACCTCGGAGCAAAAAATGGCTACTGGTTAACATCGCGCGTTAACTTGGAGCTAAAAATGGGTCAAAGTTACGCGTCGTGTCACAACGCTTATAATAAAAATGTACGAGCACTTACACAAAATAGTTGTTACAACCAACCTTGTGTTGGGTCTAATTCTCGTCACTACACTGCACAACTTAAAATAATTACGTTTTTTGTCGGTAAAAACGTCCTGGTGACGTCACTTAAGCATTTTTCTTATTCTGCGTGCGGTCGTTGCGCGTGCGCACAAAGGAATGAGACCGCTCGGACACCGAGCCCACAGCGTGGTAGGGGTGGGGTTGCCCGCTCTTTTGTTTTTTACTACTACTGCGCTGAATATTGTGTGCGGATTGGCTTGTCGTACAGGGGTACTACACGGTAAAATAAATCTCGGAGGCGAAAGCAGGATAATGAATAATTTAGATCGATAATACTGGCACGCTTCACAATAATGGTATTCAATAAAAGGTTGAGAATAATAAAGGTGATTGTAATAAAAATGTTACCAAAGTAAAAAACATGACATTGCAGACCTACTTACGATATAAGAGTCCTAAGTTTTCCGAAGGTTTGACATTATATCAACGTACTTACTTACACAGGTAGGACTTATCAGAATTTGATCTTAGTTGCCGACATTAAAAGTGTTCTTTTTAAATTTCGTTGGCTTTGATTCCTGAAACAGAAATACATATATTCTTCAGTAATTACAGCACATATATCTCATTAATTTTTAGACTATATCTTAATTTGGCTTGAAATTAATTTGAGGATTTATGGCTGTTTCTTATGTATAATTTAAGATTTTATTTGTAATCGATATTCCTTAAAAATCATAGGTTCGTTTAGTCAAACAAATATGTATATGAATAAGAAAGAACCTATAATGTAATCTAAATCTTATCCTGTTTAAAATAGGAATAATTGTAAAGGTTGTCTTTCACCGGGAGCACTCGTGTGTAGCAATACAAGATAAAGTTCATCTCTTGTGCTACATTTTCTGTTTTATGGTATACTAGCGGCCGCCCGCGACTTCGTACGCGTGGATCCCGTTTTACCCCCTTCATCTATCTTACGCGGTTTAGATTTTTTTATACAAATGTATTTTTCCGCTAACTCCCGTTCCTGTGGGAATTTTACAATATCCTGTTGTAACTAAGCTTTAAGTTTACTAAGGTACCTGCATGCCAAATTTCAAGCGTCTAACTTAAGCGGTTTAGATTTTTCATACAAATGTTTTTTCCCGCTAACTCCCGTTCCCGTGGGAATTTTGCAATATCCTGTTTTAACTAAGCTTTAAGTTTACTAAGGTACCTGCATGCCAAATTTCAAGCGACTAACTTAAGCGGTTCAGATTTTTCATACAAAACGATTTTCCCGCCAATTCCCATTCCCGTGGGAATTCCTAAGTATCCTATAACCTGCCCAGGAGTATGAAGAATAATTGTACCAAGTTTCGTTAAAATCCGTCGAGTAGTTTTTGTTTCTATAAGGAACATACAGACAGACAGACAGACAGACAGACAGACAGAAAGACAGACAGACAAAAATTTTACTGATTGCATTTTTGGCATCAGTATCGATCACTAATCACCCCCTGATAGTTATTTTGAAAATATATTTAATGTACAGAATTGACCTCTCTACAGATTTATTATAAGTATAGATAGATATACGAGTAGGTGTAGCTGAATTCTTTGGTTGTTACGTTAACAGGTTCATGTCTTTTGGTGTAGTTATTTGTGCAGATGCAAATGTATAAAAAAACTCTGGTTAGTAAAAATAAAAAAAGTATTAGGGTTTTATTGAGGACCTGTGGGTTCCTAAACTGACAACCATGACTGTATTGAAGAAATCGATAAAACTAAACTGTTACAAAACTCTCAGAGCAAACCAATGAATTATGCAGCAAAATAATTACATTACGACACCAGTTACATAACCGAATCAGTTCCAGAGGTAAACGTTATTATAATTTCATAATGCCTACTGGTATGGGATTTCCGAATATGCGAAACTCGCTGAGAGTCCTTTCAAATATTCAACATGAATCTCTTAAACCTCAGCCGTACAAATGAATCCTAAAAGCTCGGAGAAAAAATCAATAATGAATCCATCTTCCAGGCTTGGCAAGTTGGGGAAATGTTAGGAAAATTCAAGATTAGACGCGTGGGAGAAACTTGTGTAGTGTAAACTAATCAACTAACACAAACTGGACTTACCTAGTTCTGGTCAACGAATGTCTTGAACTACAAAAAATACAAACACAATTTCGCAAATTACTTGTGCTATGTACCAAATAAGCATGATAGTAACAGAACTGTTTCTTATCCCAAATATACCCGCGTGTTTCATTTAGAATATGCACGAGATTTTACTGAAAAATAATAACTAATTTTCATCGACCTTACTATCGTGTTTAATTTAGTGCCAAACAGGAAGGATGTCCCGATGTTGGTTTTCAGCGGTAGCTCATCAAAATGCGCCATTATCGACAAAGTGATTACCTACCTACTCATAGTATTTGTTGAAATCATAACAATATCTAAACCAGGTTTTTCTATGAAAAGATTGCCTTAGCATATCCCACATATGAAGCTAAGTTCTTTCGCTTGCTCGGATCTACTTAGCTACGGAAATCCATCGAGCAAAAAATCTTGTTTCAGATTTTCTTATTCCTTTAGTCTCCAAAGTTTCAAGAACACTCCTCTACAGTGTTTTTGATACAGACGTCATAAAAAGCGTCAGACGGAACACATAAAGATGCGTGACGAGTGTGTTCCACTCCACTCGCGAGGGATAAAGACAACGGGATAAAAGTCGAACGCACGTGAGTTCCACTCCGCATTGCACGCAGTGCGTGAGCGAAGCTGTGAATGCGTCTAGACGCTATTGTGTCCCACTCGTGAAGGTTTTGCAGACCAATTGGCATGTTATTTTTAACTAAAAGACTATTCTAGGATTAGAAATGTTCGTTATCTCGACGGTTAGTAAGTGGATTTAACTGCCTATTACATAGAACAGGATACCTACTCGTGCTGTTTCTGATTGGTATTAGCTAGATTTTCCCGGGATTTATTGACTATGAATACAGGTTCTAAGAATCGATAATTGACTTGGTTTTCACGAACGAATAAGTGGTATTACATTTGCGAGGCTGCAGGCAGTCTCAATATAGGTAAGTAAATAAGTTATCTTCATTGCGCACAGAGCATACCATACGTATTAGATATTATTATGACACATCTACTCTATAAAATGAAAACCTTATTGTGACATATCCACAACAACCCATATGTGAATCTTGTCTTCTGATATTCGTGCAAAATTTATCTTTATTAGATACATATTAAAGAGGTGCAATGTGATTTTTTTCGTAGAAGCTAATCGAACCACTAAGCTGATTTTGAAAACTTTTTCATTAGTAGAAAGCTACAGTGTTCCACATAGGTATCATTCTGTGACAGATAGAAAAACTAGTAGGTAAAACACGAAGCCGTGGGCAAAAGCTGGCATAATTTTATAGGTTCACAGTT